TCGCGTTGGACGGGGGCCCAGCCTCTTCTGGGATGACCTCACGTTAACCTAGCTGATAACATCTTCAAAGGCCCTGACAAGGTCACTGCCTAGTTCTCTGTGCTGCCGTCCCAGGAACGCCACAGCGTGGTCCTCTGAGGCTCAGGCACAACCACCCTCGGAACAGCAGACGCCAGCCTTGGCCTCTCCCGCGCCGTCCTCCTCCGCGTGCTCAGCCCCGGTCGCAGTCCCCGTCTCCGTCCACTGCTTGAGGGCCTTCCTCTATTCGGCTGACCATGTGCTTTTCAAGCATGCTGCCTCCTTCCAAAGACTGGCTCCTCCTGACACATGCCCAGGGTACGAAGCCTCTCCATCCTGGTCTCTGAGGAGCGTCCTGGTTGCACCTCCTTTGAGATAGATTTGTTCTTTTGACAGTCTGTGAGATATTCATTACTCTTTTCCAACATCACAATTCAAAGGCATAAATCGTTTCATTACTTCAAGTGGATGACTTTAAGCAACAAAAATTCATTTACTCTCAGAGGCTGGAAATGGGGGTCTAGATTTTGTCAGTCCCTCCTGAGAGTGTCTCCTGATTTCTGCTGTCTTCCAGCAGTCCATGGCTTTTTTATTTACCTGTAGTTGATCCTCACAAGCTATTTCTCTCTCTCTCTCTCTCTGTGTGTTGGGATCCTACACCTAACCTGCCCATTCTAGAACTCCCAATTGATCAGATTTATTATTATTATCTCTGATGTCTTTTTAAAATGGTTGTGCTCTGAGTGAAAATTAGTAGAGCCAGTTGGTGGTCCATTGAACCCCTCGTGCATATACACGTTTGTATCTTTATAATCCCCGATTGTAACAGCACTCTTCCTTGTCCTACCCTGTGATTCTAGTTTCTCCTCGCCCTGTTACCCTCTACTTTCTTTTCTTTTCCTTAGGTGATGCTGCCCTTTTGATCTTGTATAGTTGGCACTTCTGGGGGACGCACACCTCTCTGTTGTTACAGTTCACCTTATCCCATGTCTGTTGTTTGGCTGTAGAAAGTCGAGCCATAGCATCAGTTTCATTCTAGGCTCAAAGAGTGACACAGAGATGAGTCTGAGACCAAAGTGGTCTCATTTTTCTGACCTTCTGATTCTCCTCGACTGCCTCTGTGTGTTCCAGGAAATAGAAAGTAATTGGATTAGTGTTTACCCCCAGACAAGGGTATGACCCATCCTAGGAGATAAAACAGTGAGTGCTAAAAAAAAAAGAAAAGGGCCCCAGGCCCTTGAAAGGGCTGTGACTACTTCCAACCTGCCCCACGTAGAAGGATAAACACCCTACTCCTCTGGGTGAATACCTTGCTCCCCGGTTGAATGTCAGCCCGCTTACACCAAATGCACATTCCAAATAAAGCATAATTGCTAAGTTACTTTTGGACTTTGTAGTGACATTAGACCATTCAACAAGTGATGTGATGTAGAATCCACTTTAATTTGGTTTGATCTCATTAACACAAGAAAAAACCCCTTATTGTAAATGAACTGCTGTGGACTTCAGTTTAATTCTCCCACAGGTTCCCAGACTTTTAAATCTTTGTGGAAGCCACCAGTCCCATCTTTTTCCCCACCAAGGGGCTGCTGGCTTCAAACCACTGACCCTTTCTGTGAACACGTCAGTTCTTTGGCCATGATGCCACCAGCTCGCTCCCCTTACGTCAGGTTCTGCTACGGGGCTGTCGTGCCGCACCTCCTTGGCTCGGCTTCTCACTTCCCCACCTTCTCCTTTCCCTCTTGCTCTGAAGGGAGGAGGAACAAGCTGTGTACACCGAATGGCAAACAGCTTGTGTCCCCACAAGACTTGGCAAGTGTCGGAAACAAAGGCTGTGCTGGGCCCTCAGTGGCTCCAGCAGGTGACGTGAACCAGACACCTCGAAGGAGAGAGGGAGGATTGCTCCGAGCTGGTGCTCCTAGAGTAAACCAAACCGAGTGCTGTCCGGATCGCTCCGAGCTGGTGCTCTTAGAATGACCCAGACTCGGTGCTGTCCGGTAGAGTGAGACTCGTAGTGAGTGTGTGAACCACAGCGGGAAGCTACCCCGTACCCCGCCCCACCTCACTGTCTTCTGACCTTCAAGAGGTTGAAGTCCGAGATGTTCAAGTCCATTGTTGCTGTCACCATGTCAGCCCATCTCACTAAGGCTCTCCCTGTCCTTCGCTGACCCTCCACCTTCCTAGCATCATGTCTTTTTCCAAAGACTGCTGCTGCCTCCTGACAATGTGCCCAAAGTACATGAGATGAAGTTTCACCGTCTTTGTCTCTAAGCCGTCTTTGTCCTTGGAGACCTTGAGCAGCTCCATGGCACGCCGCTCGTAGGGTGCGAAGCACGCACCTCCCGGATCATGTCCCACACGAACTTGGTGTGCTCGTTGAGGCGGCTTGCTCACGTTCTTGGTGCCTTTGTGGTCCTTGTAGAGGCCCCTGGTCATAGGGTAGCACACAACCACGTCTGCTGCACACGTCTGTGGCTGCCGCAGCGGAAGGATGGTTGCCAGTACCTCGTCTTTCTTGACCTGCCCCTTTGGAATTTTCTATTCAGTTCTCTTCCTCCTTCCACTTCTGAATCTGTAACAAGTTTCGGAGTCTCCACGTGGGCCTTGGAGGTCAGAGTGAAGCTGCCCACAGGGTTTCCCCAGCCGCCATCTTCATGGACACGGACTGCCACATCTTCCTACTCTGGAGTGGCTGGTGGTTTTGAACTCCTAACCTTTTGTTTCACAGCCACCTGCCTTAGCTACAGTATGACTGGACTTCTGAAGGTCAACACGTCCCAGCTGAGGGGAGATGGAGCAGGTGGCCTGATGGGTAGACAGGCGCTTAGGAATGAACATGGAATCCAACCCAGCTTTGGCCGGTCTGAGGATGACCCTGAGGAGGGGCGTGGGAGCTGGACTCGGTCTGACCTGCAGTGGCCGCCTCATGACGGAGCTGGGGGTGCTTAGGTCCAGTGTGGAGAGAAAAAGGTGCCAGAAAGGGCTAGAAGTTCATGTGTCTGGAACATGGGATGTGGCAGTGTGGTGTGGGGGGTGCAGGGTGTCAGAGGGCAAGCAGAGGTCAGAAAGGCCTAGAAAGGCAAGGGAAGCCCTGGGAAGCAGGGCTGTGAACCAGTTCATTCCATTTTGAGCTCCTGCTGAGTCACAGCTTTTCACTCCAGCTAGACTGAATCACAATCTGTATGAAAACAGCTTTTAACATGGACTTAGTGTCACCCCGGGGTCTTAGCATAGATTCAGGGTCTGTGTGGGGTGGGTATGAAGATTCTCAGCAGGGATCAAACCAGAATGAATGAATTCACTCGCAGCACTGTGGGAGCCATAAACAGCCAGGTGACTGACTGTTCCTTTTTGGAAAGGTCATCTGGCTGTTGTGTGGACAAGTATGGATGGATGCTCTCTCTCTTCATATATATATGTGTGTGTGTGTGTGTGTAAATATAAAATTTCCCCCCAGGACATTCTTTTACAGAATAATACCACAAGTATCAAAATGAAGAAATTAAACATTGTGAGTATATTATCTGTATCCAAAATTCCCAAAGGCTAAAGAATATTGTTTTGTTTTAAGAGAGAGGAACCCACTGTGTAAAGCAAGGGTCACATTTTGCACTTAGTTCTTGCATTTGTTTATTGTTGTTAGCGGCTGAGTCTGCTCCAACTCGCAGCAACCCCTGATCAACAGAACAGCGTCTGATCCTGTGCTATCCCTACAGTCACCGTTCGGTTTGAGTCACAGCCACCTGGTCGATCCAGCTCACCGAGGGTCGTCTTCTGCCAAGCATGATGCTCTTCTGCAGGGGCTGCTCCTCCGATCACATGTGCAAAGCTTGTGAGATGAAATCTCTTCATCCTCGCTTCTAAGTAGTCTCCTTTCAGCTGGACAGTCTCTGAGGTTTCACAGTCTCTGTGTGGTTTCACAACACTGACCTTTCTGGAGCGTTCAAGGCAGTTGATTTGCAGAACGCCCCTCAACTTGGATTTGCCTGATTGTTTTCCTGTGATTAGATTCAGGGTGAGCGTGTTTGGCAGGAGGACTATACAGGTGATGTGTGCAGTATTATCAGTGTAAACTAAAGTTGTTAAGTTTGATCAAGGGCAGTGATGGTATGGACCCTGGCTGGCTGTGGGGGTACCCTGAGGTCTCTTGATCATTTTACATAAAGAACCAAGTATGTAAGACCCTTGTGCCCAGAGCTCCGAGACCTATGTTCGCATTACTCCTTTGCCCTTCACACACCGAGACCAGGGCAGGGCAGCAGGGTAGGCATCCAGTGAATAGAAATGGCTAACAATTCTGAGATAATGGCTCTCCGTGCTGCACCATTTTACAGATGAGGAAACTGAGGCTCAGACAAATGTAATTTGCCTAGGATCAGACAGATTGAAGGAAGTGGCAAGGACCGGGACGTGAACGCAGACTTGTCAGATCTATGATCAAACGTGGGATAAAGAACCCGAAACATACGGTCACGCTGGCCACAAGTTGTGCAGAAGGGGAGCTCTGGTGGCGGTGGTCATCATAGGGAACCCCAAGCTGATGCCGCCATCCCACCAGAGGCTCAGAGGGAGAAAGGTGGGCCATCTCCTCCCATGCACTTTACAGCCTCTAGAAACCGCTGGAGGGTCGGGGTGAGCTGGCCCAGACCGGATTGGCCGTGAAGCCTTTTTTGAGTGTAGACAGAAGGTTTGAATTGGGTCTTCAGATGGCACCTGGCTGGGCTGGCGCAGGCGCAGGCGCTCTCGCTTGAGGCCCACGTGTCCCACGGGGCGTGGCCTTAGGCGACCCCGCCCCCAAGACAAGCCAATCCACGTCCCCGTAAAGGCACGCCGTGTTAGACCACGCCCCTTTATGGCCACGCCTTCCGCTTGCGCGGTGATAGCGGAAGCATTTTGACCCTCGGGTGGGGCCGTAGCCGCAGTCTCCTCGGACGTCCGCGTTCGGAGCGCGGGGCATCCCGAACCGTGGGCCGCCGTCCAGCATGTCCGAGAAGGCGTCCGGGGAACGCGAGGGGCCGGCGCCGGCCGGCGCAGTGACCATCAGCGACGTCAAGGAGCTGATGCGGCGCAAGGACGAGATCGAGGCGCAGATCAAGGCCAACTACGACGTGCTGGAGAGCGTGAGTGGACACCCCGGGGCTCGGCGGGCGCTGTCACCGGGGAGGCCTCCCTGCCTGCAGCCGGGGCCCTGGCCCTGGCCGTGGCCGAGGGGCCGACTCGGTGGAGCTCCTACCAGGCCGGCCCCAGCCCTGGGAGGCGGGTTCTGGGCTCCCCCTCCCTGTGGTGTTAGGTGATGTCCAGCCTTGGGTGATTCATAGCAGTCTGCAGAGGGACACTCCGCCCAGCGCTGTGCCCTCCTCCCAGCCCTTTCAATGCTGAGCCCTTGGAGCAGTCCTGTCCCCCCTTCAACAAATGACACCTTCTCACCTGGTTGAGGGTCTTCCTCTCTTTTGCGGCCACTCCACCTAGGCATGGTGTCCTCTCCAAAGAATAACTTCTCTTAGCAAAGTATGGTGACGAAGCTACACCATCTTTGCCGCCAGCGATCATTCTGGCATCACTTTCTCCAAAACATGCTCATTCTTTTAGCAGCCCGTGGGATGTTCAGCGCTCTTCTCCAACACCCCAGCTCAAAGGCATCGATTCTTCTGCCATCCTTATTTCATTGTCCAGTTGTCAGATACATAGCAAGTGATTGAAAAGATCATGACCTGAGTCAGATGCACCTTAGTCCTCAGACTAACATCATTGCTGGAGAGGGCCCTGACTACAGACTTTCCCAGTGATTTTCTGACTGCTGGTAGCAAGTGTATTGATTGTGGCTTCACGATCAAGTAACTGACAATTTCCATGTTTTCTTTCTTCATCTATCATGATGTCACCCTTTGGTCTAGTGGGGAGAATTTTTGTTTTCTTGACATTTGAGATGCAATCTGTATTGAAGGGTGTAGGGTTTGATTTTCTACAGCAAATATATCAAGTCCTCCTCACTTTCCGCAAGCAAGTTTGTGTCATCTGCATAATGAAAGATATTGATTATTAGGTTCTAGAGTAAATCTAATCTAGATTGAGTATTAGGTACTAGATCCAAAATTATTAGTTTGTAAGTCTGTTAATTGATAGGCATGGAGCTCTGATGACCTTCTGGTAAGGAGCTGTGCTGCCAATCCAAAGACACATGGTTTGTATCCAGCTGCTCCATGGGAGAAAAATGGGCAGTCAACTCTTGTGCGATTTACAGCCTCTGAAAAGCTGCTAGAGGGTCAGGCTAAGTCCTTTCCTGACAGCACAAAGCAGCCTCACACCCAGTTGTGTCTGCATCTCGCTGTGTTGTACTTCACAGCTGCTGTGTTTGGTTAGTTTCTTTTTTGACAGATGGGAGTTTGACCGTCTTGCGTCCAGCTTTTTATTGGTGCCATTTTTCCTACAGCTTGCGTTCACTTTGTGTCTCCATGTCCTGTACTGATCGTTCTAACAATATTTGAAACTTTTCCCTCATACTTTTGCCCATTTAAGACACTACCGTGCAGTGCGAACATAAGTTATGTGTGTGTCCAAAAACTGAAAATCTGTATGACTCGCTCAATTGCAGTACCTGCTTTATTGGGTGGTCTGATCCAGAACTTGAAATGTCTACATGGTCTCCTTAAAAAGAACAAGATCCAGTGCGTGTGGGTGGTGGGAGTGGGGTGGAGGGCCCGTGGAGGACAGGGCACAATTTTTCAGTTGTTAATTGAGTGCCTAGAGGCTGCTGGTAAATCATGAAATCCTCACACCTGCTCAGTGAAGTTGGTGTGTCCCTGAAGCTTCAAGGAGGGCTGCTACTTGTTCAGAGTCCAGGCTGGAATTCAGACCTCAGGCCTTTTTAACCCAGAACCTGTGCATTTAAAGCATTGTGTCAGCAAGTCCTTAGACTCCAGTTGCTTCTCTAGTTGGACATCTGTGCGTCTAAAGTTGCTGTTAGTCTCTTGATATTTTCTTTAAGTTTCTCAAGAGCTCTGGTGGCCTAGTGGTAAGAATCTACAATCCTACAGGCATGCAGTTCAGATCTACAAGATACTGTGTGGGAGAAGGATGGGCATTCTCTTCCCATGCAAGTTACTGCCTCTGAAAACCAGCGGGAGGGTCCGCTGTGAATCAGTTCCGATTCGACGGCACACAACAACAAACAGATTTAAGCACAATTTCTTTTTCCTTAAATAAATTGGTGTTAAAAGGACCCTTTGTATTTCTGCAGTGTAGAGAAAAGCAGAATTTCTTCCTTCCTGTAAAATCTGTGGTTGTTGAGTCTACTCCGACTTAAACTGGCCCTCGCGGACTGATGAGAACTGCACTGGTGTGCTTTCTGGGGCTGGGAGTCTTTACGGAAGCAGACGACTTCATCTTTCTCTGACAGAGTGGCTGGTGGTTTCAAACCATCAACCTTTCCGTTAGCAACCAGGTGCCATAACCACAGCATCAGCAGGAATTCTCCCCTCCATTATAGATAAGGACTATGGTAGCCATGGAATTCGGAATCGCTAAGGAGTGAGTCACCACCCACTGCTGTTGCCTTGCTGGAGATTTTAAGCTTGGAACTACTCTATGTTTGTTTAAAACGGAATTATCTTTTAGTTCTGATTTTTAGCTTCTCAAAGGTGGGAAAATGCAGAATGGAATTTCAGTTTTTCCTAGACTTTAGATTTTCTGGAACCTTGGATTCTGCACAGATCCCTGAAGCTAGAGGCCCGAGATCACTTTTTTTTTCCGTGCATGTACCGTCAAATCAGATCTGACTGGTACAGGAGAAAATTGTCCCTCATTCCCTGGCAGAGCATCTGGTGGATTCAAACCTTGTACCTTTGGGATTGCAGTGCAGCTTCTTGCCACTAGGCCACCAGAGCTCCCCCCCCCCCAGATCGCTTTAAAACTTAAACAAACACAAACAAAATCTCTTGAAATCTTCTTAAAACAAAACAGCGGTTTGGCTTTGTGTGTATAAAATGTGTGCTTTGGATATTGGACCTTTTAAAGAACTCTCTCTGTGGGATCAGATTCAGCACAACAACTTGAAAGATGAGATAGAAACTTTGGGGAACAGTGAGTTCACCTCACGGAACTAACTCAGAAATGAAGGCTAGAAAGGCCCGTTTTCCCTAAAGCCCCAGGAGAGTAACAGGCATCCCTGCGTGCATGTGTTGATGCGTATGTTTTCCGGCACGTAATGTCAACAATGAAAACAAAACAAACCAAACAATAATAACCGACAACTCCTGGAGGAGAAGGACTGTGTAGACAAGCTCCACCCCCAGCTGTGAGCATTAGGGCTTGAGTGCAGCTTTCTGGGGCCCCAGCCGCCCCACTGGACCATGTCCCTGCCTGGCACTGTTCTGGGCACAGGACAGCTCTTTAATTCGCACCACAGGTGGGCGGGGGTCTGAGGGCCTTCAGTCCTGTTTTTTTATGGGCGCCGAGGCTTTGCGGGCCGAGGACCTCAGGCAGGGACACAAACAGCCTGTCCAGGCTGCTGCCAAGCCCGTTCACCGTCTCAGCAGCCCCGTAGGACGGACCAGAGCTTTTCACAGGGAAGGAAGCGGATGTCCCGTAGACAGGCATCATGCTGGTGGAGGGTCAGCAACAGGGAGGAGGACCTTCAGTGAGACGGGCTGGTGCAGTGACCACAGTGGGCTTGAGCAGGACAGATGGTGAGGTGGCCCAGGGCAGGGCAGGGGTCACATCCGTGTACTGAGTCACTGTGTGTCATAGCTGGGAGCAGCCTGCCTCATCCTCTTTCGGTCAGCTGGGGGTTTGCTCTGTTGACCTTTTGCCTAGCAGCTTAACCTTTGGCCCCTGTGCCCCCAGAGCTCCTTGGACAGGCTCACGTGAGATGCCCATCAAAGTCAGCCACTGCACAGAGACCCCACAGGCCATTTACCGCTGTTGTACACTGTGCTTCCACTTACGTGAGAAACGGCTCTACAGGGTTAAGATCTGCGCAGGTCACATGTCACCGTGGTCAGGATTCAAAATCTACAAGAGAAAATGCTGCATTGACCTCTCCTCCCCACTGCTCAGTTCCTCCCCCAGGAGGCCCCAGCTGTACCAGTGCCCTGTCCCACCCATGGGGGGTCCCAGAAAGCCTTCTGATCTCTTCTTTCCCGAAGAACCAAGGTCCTGTCCCCTGCACGTTCTGTGGGGTGTTTACACCCTTCTCTCTGTCAAGGCCACCGGCCAGGTGCCCCTGGCTTTGAGGGAGTCCCTGAAGAGATTGGCCTTGAAAGGGCACTCAGAGAAGTCTTGTTTTATCTGTAGTACTGTTTTAACTTCAAAAAGGAGAAATGTGTTCATGTGTGACTCACGTTGATAGCCTGTGTTCTAACAGATAGTGTCCACTTCAAGGTTAGCAGTGAGACCACTGGGGCAGGGGTGGGCGGGGGAGGTGGGCAAAGTGCCTGGTGGTGGACGGGGCAGCGCCTGGCAGCCCCTGTGACCCGCCCCGCAAGCCCCCTGCTGGCGAGGCGGTTCCCACTCCTGGTGACCCTCTGCAGCCTTTCTGAGACTGGACATCTGAACGGAGGTTTACCTCATCCTGCCTCTTCCCGCCCCACGAGCTGGTAGATTCAAACTGCCAGTCTTTCAGTGAGCAGCTCCACCCTGACCCCCTGTGCCCGGCTCCTGTATCTCACAGCAGAATAGCGTCAGTGTTATTACTGCAGCGGGGAGGCCTGGGGCAGGGGCATGGGGAGCTCTGCAGAATCTCGTTAACTGGGTTTCTTCCTCCAGCAAAAAGGCGTTGGGATGAACGAGCCCCTGGTGGACGGGGAGGACTACCCCCGGGCCGACGTGGACCTGTATCAAGTCCGGACCGCCAGGCACAACATCGTCTGTGAGTGACGCCGCTCTCGGACCAGATGGCCCCGTCTCGGTGGGACCTGCCCCTGTCTCGCCTGCCCTGTCGGGGAGGGCTCGCCACCCTCGCTGAGGGACTGGGCGCACGGGCCGGGGACCTGGCGCACGGGCTGGTCTCCGTCGTCGTCGTTGCTGGGTGCCGTTGAGTCATGGTGTCTTCTGTCAGTGCTGGTGCTCGTTTTGCACCATTCTTACAACAGAGAGTGGGTTTGAAGCTGTGTTCACTCCTCATTGAAGGCTTTTGTCTTAGCTCACCCACGAGGGGACTGTTTGCATGATTTCATTTTTATTTTGTCCTTAAGAACTTCCCTGTGGACGTTTTATTGAAAAGAAACATCAGAAATTTAAGTTAGCTGGCTGCAGTCCTGGTGGCGCGTAGATCCCAGGCCCC